CCACATTCTCCACTGACATGATTCAAATGCTGCTGAGAGGCACAACATTATCCTTCATCCAATTTCACTGAACAGAATTAATCTTTTCATCCAAAGTTTCACTTTTTCCTTATGTTTTTCTAGGGGACAATTTAGTGGCTGTGGTGCTGTGATTTACTTGATATGGCTCTTCTAGTCATAGTCTTTGTAACTCACCAAACAACTAAGTGGGACCGTGAAGATTGAGAGTATTTCCTCTTTTCCTAATGGGAGTTGGTAAGAGAAGGTAAGGGAAGATTGTAATGGGATTATATGCTAGTTGTGAGTGATAGTTGTAAATACTTCAAACTCTAACATGGGAATTGGTCAATTTTGTCATCCCAATGGGTATAAAACTATCTCAGAAGCAGGATGGGAGGATCATACTACCATAAGATAGAAGTGTGGGCTGCATCCTTTGGACGCCAAGATTCTATGTATTGAACCTCTTAGATCTAGGAGACTGTGCTGTGACACTAGAGGAGCAGCAAAGCAGCAGCAGCAGCAGAACTAAGAGCCAGAACACAAAACAGAGTGGTACGCTTTGCAGTTCCCATAGAGTGAGTGAAGCTTAGTGCCTTCAGTCAAGAAGTTCACTTGTGGAGTGGAGTGCTTCCAGGCACTTCATTGGGAGAACTAGGCTTACTGATGCATGGAGTTAGAGCTGAGCACCTTTGGTTGAGGTTTATGGTAGAATGGGGTGCTTTTTGAGCAATTATTGGAAGCAACAATAGAACCAGGGGACTGAAAGTTTGAGGACCACAGAGAAGCTTATGAACTGAGAGAGGCTGAGTAAAGGTCATTCTGACCAATGAACTGTACCCTGAGAATTTCTTATACTGAATTGGAACCTGGTAACTTCCCTAAAAAAAATCCATATCAGATCCAGTGCAAATGTAGAAAGTGCTATGGAAGGGACAGTTGATATCATAACTGGTAAAGAAGGTTGGAGGGTGGAGGTATATTTGACCTCTGCTTCATAGAAATCAATCTTAGGTTGATTAATTTGATTCCTCTTTTCCCTTGTGAATTCAGAGGCACTTATATGTGCTTTTTGCCTTACCGTACCTCACTCAGTATTCTTGTATATATATAATTTTATAATATATATATAATTTTATTGGGAGCCCTTACAGGTCTTATAGCAATCCATACAACCATTGTATGAAGCACATTTGTACATATGTCTCCATCATCATTTTCAAAACATTTACTTTCTACTTGAGCCCTTGAGATCAGCTCCTCTTTTCTCTTCCATCCCCTGGCCTTGTGAACCCTTGGTAAATTATAAATTATTATTATTTTCATATCTCACACCATCTGCTGTCTCCCTTCAACCAAGTTTCTATTGCACATCCCCCGAGGTGGGTGGTAGTGGTTATACGTCGATCATTGCAATTGGTTCCCCCTTTCTTCCCTTTCTACCCCCACCTACCTCTACCATCATGGTATCACTATTCCCATTACTGTTCCTGAGGGGTTTATCTGTCATGGATTCATGTATCAAGAGCTCTTATCTGTACCAGTGTACATATTCTGGTCTAGCTGGATTTGTAAGGTAGAACTGGGGTCATGATAGTTGGGGAAGGAAGCATTAAAGAACTAGAGGAATGTTGTATGTTTCATCAGTTTTATACTGCACCCTGGCTGGCTCATCCCTTCCTTGTGACCCTTCTATGAAGGGATGTCCAATTGTCTACAGATTGCCTTTCTTCCAGTTAGCAGAAAAGCGCTCAACCATTGCACAACCAAAGCTCCTTTTTAGCACTCGAGAAAGGTCTCAAAATGCCTAGCAATTTATATTCCCATCTTAAGACCCAGAGCAGAATTACCAAATAAAATAAAGAATTCCCAGTTAAACTTGGATTTAAGGCAAACAATATATTTTTAGCATAAGCATGTTGGAAATTGTGTATGGGAAATATCTGTGCTATAAATAAAAACAAGTATTGCTATTAGGTGAGCATTGGATTGCTAACCACAAAGCAAGTGGTTCAAACTTACCAGTTGTGCCTTAGGACAAAGATGAGGCTGTTTGCTCCTGTGAAGATTTACACTCTTGGAAACCTTACATAGGGGTCCCTCTGAGTCAGAATTGACTCTGTGGCAGTGGGCACTCGCTTATTGCTTTCTCATGGCATGACTACCTTATTAAATTACTTGCTTATGAATCCTTGTCAAAGAGGTTTTCCTTATATGAAACTCAAGTCTACTTGAGTATACTGCACTTTTGTTAACTAATCGTGGAAACCCTATTTTAGGGGCATCTTTAGCCAATTGTTGAATGGTATAAGAGTTTTCCACATCCTCCAAATGGGGCTAAAAAAAAAACAACAGCACTGAGATATCATTTATACTCCTGAGGCCCCTGCAGGATCAGGCTGAGTGAGATCTCATTTGATTAGTCCGTTTGCTTTTCGTCTTTCCTGTATCCAGTTTGCTTCTCCTACTGTCTCACTAAGGAGCCCTGGTTACACTATTGGGTAAATGTTGGATTGCCATAGGTTTGTGGCTCAAACCCACCAGCTAGTCCTCCAGAGAAAGATGAGGTCGTTTGCTTCTGTAAACATTTGCAGCCTCAGAAGCGCTATATAATATTTACTTTCTCATTAATTTCTCCTGAAACACACGTACTTGTGTGTGACTTCTTGTCTGAGGATATGCTTCTGAGAGAGTATGGCCTAAGATGGAGATTTCACAAGTCATCCCACAGCACTACCTCATCACAACTTAAAAGGAGTGAGTTTACTAACTCAAATTTATGTTTGCATTCTTTGGAGTGGGAGTGGGGGCAATCTTCTTTGTTTCATGTGTAAACTCCTGATTAACCCGTGAGTAGCCATTTGACATACTCTTCTGAGAAACCACTGGGTCTTCACAAAACACATTCATCATTTTCCTTCCTTTGAAACTACTGGAAATCAACAAAGTCAATCCCATCACTTATATGAGCATTTCCATTCGGAGGCATATAATGACTTAAAAAAAAAAAAGATTATTCAAGCCCAGCTACTCTGAAAAAGACTAAGAAACCAAGAGGAAATGCTATGCATTGTGAAGACGAAAGAAGAACCAATTGCTAAACTAAACTATAGGTAATATATCAAAGAGATGAAGATTTCATAATTTCTAAGTCATGGGTGTTTAAAAAACTAACCAACCGAAAAACAAGCAAGCAATAAAAAAAACCAGACCACTTCCTGCTCTAACATTCTTAGGAATGATTTTGGGAAAATGTAACTCATCTCACTGTGGTACTCTATTAATGAATCATCATTGGGATAAATGCATGCTTCAGGAAAAGGTCATTTCGCTCTATTGATCTCCCAGGCATCTGTACTCTTCTCTCTCTTGATGTGATTGGAAAGCATTTTTTTCTTGATGCACTTAAGCTCAAGTAATGCTGACAAATTAAGTCTATCTATCTGAAAACCATTTCAGATCTTTATCATTTAAAGGATAAAGTCTATGTAGGGACCCTTCAATTTAAAACACCAAGAAGAAACCCCTGGGTCAAGGCACCAGTATTTGGTGAAACCTGCACATAGGATTATATAGCTTTATGGTTATTTATACCCAGCAGCAGGTAAGATATCATTAGAAAACCAAGGAGCTGGATTCTGAATGAATGGAACAACTACTGAGATGCGAGGATCACACTCTTTCTCCTTGCTGAGTAAATGTAAGGGACATTTACTTTTAAAAGACATGATACAATTGTGTTTGTTATACCAGGAGCATTTTTGTTTTTATAACCAAGAATTTCATCTGCTCTCTTTATATTTATCAAATAGCAACACCTAACTCGTGTTTTCTACTCTCTAAATCATTTCCTTTGATATCTCAGCCAGGAGGTCAGCAATAAAAAAATGATATTTATATAGAAAGCTGTTGTGGTAAATGGCAGGAGGCTACCCCCAGGGAAGTCAAAGGGATTTCTTCCCAAGATAGAGACAACCATTGTTGTCTTTTGATTTGAAGGATCATTATTAAGGAAAAAATATCTGCGTTCTTGAAAATTTGCAAAATGCATAGTGATGATCATTTGATAGTAGATAATGATGTCGTTTTTGCATATATATATATATACATATATATATATATATATATTGTAGTTTTAAATTAAGTGACAGGTGCAGGGTTGCTAGGGGGAAAAAATGAACAGTATGGAGATTTTCTATGCAAAGAGATACTTAATAGAAAAC